ATACAAAGGTCATTATATAAGATGCATGGTGTAGTCAAAAAGCAGTAAGATACATGTGACCAGAACTATGTGAATAGAGAAAATAATGAAAAGAAATGAGATTTAAAAGAAACTTAGAAGAAACCATGTGCAGTCTTCTTGAATCACTGAATTCATGAGTGCTGAGTGCTAAAAGTCACAACCCTAAAAGACTATCCAAAGGAAATATATGAATATATTACAATGTTCTAGATATTTCATCAGGACACAATACATTTCCACAGAGAATACTTATTCTTTCATAAAGGATTCTGCAATAGAATTGTGAAGACCAGTCACGAAGACATAAAAAGCTAATTAACTGTATAAGTAAGTTTATGATGATGTCACATGATCCTAAATAAAGGAATTCTAAAATTTCGAAGGAGAGAAAGGATACCATGAAAAGTTTTAAGATATTTCTTAGGCATGGATGAACTAAAATTAGAAGCCAAGGGGTTATTTAGAATTAGATACTGGAGATTCCAGGCAAGAGAAATATCATGAGTGAAGTATAAGTGAAGGGAATTCACAGCACATGCTTAAGAGAGGTGAAGGCAGTTTCATTTATTTTTGAGGAAAAATTCCCAGGGAGGGGTCTAGAAGCTAAGTGTGGAAGACTATGCATATCAAAATATCTTTAATTGGCTAAGGAATGTTCATAATGAGCCAATGATCTGAGGTGGGAAGGAGATTATTCTGTTTAGGGAATTCAAGTATGATGGGGTGGTGGAGCAGAAAGGAAGAGAGGTGGATGATAAGACTAGAGATTTAAGCAGAGTTTTAGAATTTTCCAAATATGGAGTGTGACTCTGCTCTTTTAAGGAAAACAAGCTAATCTATGTTCAATGTAAAAAAGATTGTGGAGAGTGAATTGACAGAGTGGTGCAAGTATAGGTCAGGAACTTCATGATAATGGTCTTGACTTTCAGTTCTATGTGAACTGTCCTCAAAAGGACTCAGCAAAGGCACTCCATTCCTCAAGAACTTCCAGAAGTCTCAGTCTACAGCAGGGAAGTAAACCTCTTTCAAAGGGTTGAGAAGTTATTTCAATTTCCCATTTTTTTCTGCTTTCAACTGCTTATGAAGTTGTATCTTGCACCTCTTCTACCTTCCATATCTTACATGGATACCTATCATTGGCAAAGTTTAACCCGGAACCAAATGGAGAGAGTATTTCTGGGAACTGCAGTTCCAGGAGTCTACTGAAAAGTCCAGATGAGCTTGGAAGGAAGTGGCAGTGATGAATAGTGGAAATGGACAATCCAGTGGAGAAAGAAAGATCAGATGACTGAAGTAGACAACTGGACTTTCCAATCATCTTCACACAAAGCAAATCAACCTTAATATCATTCTTTCATATAACATTTAATTTGACAGAAGATTGCTAAAATGAAAAACAGAATGAGGAACATTAACACACCATTTTAGACATAAATCTATTCTTACATACTTGTGGATGTCGCCTAACATTATCCAGCTACAAGCACCCAAATGTCTTTCAACATCCCTTCATATGACATAATTATAGAATATTTACTATTCTTGTTAATTTCATCTTTCTATTTGTCACTCTCTAATGCTTTTAAAATATGACGTCCAAATTTAAGCACAGGTCTCATAGTGAAATCTGACTAATAATAGAGGGGAACTATTTCCTTCAATTATTGTGTTGCTGTCTGCATATTCATGCAGCCAAAGTTTAAATTAACGTTTTAGAATTAGTTTCACATTTCTGCCTAATACTGAGCTTGCATTCAAAATTTTCCAGTATTTTGCACATGAACCACTGCCAAGTTGGGTCACCTTCCTGAATAGATTTTGGATTTATCCACACAAAATCAATAGCTGAAGCCAAATAACTGGGTGAAATTTCCAAAGGAAAGTTAGCAAAGAATATGAATAGCAGAGGCAGATAGCCAGCAAGGTAAGATGTGGACACTCAAGGTCAAATTAATATCTAAATATTTTAGCAAGGAAATTGAAAATTAGAAAAAAATGTTACTAATAAAATAAACAAATACATAATAAGAGCCAATAAAGAGCTTAGCCTCAGACATACCAGGAACACTGAAATGCTGTGCTATATTAAAACAGTTAAAAAGAAAATAAATAATAGATTTGCTTTCAAAGCACAAATTGAATAGATTAGATGAGGACATATGGGTGATCAAAGAAGGATCAGAAGCAAAGATGTGATGACAAATTATAATAACACTCATTTAAAGGTGTTAGAACTGAGAGAAAATAGTCATGTAGGAAGATAACTGGCCAGTAAATTTTCTTCACTAAAATGATAAGCCATGAGCATCTGGAGAATATTGGAGCTTCATGTTTCCAAAAGAACTTGAAATCACTTAAATTTCAACAGATGTGACACCACATATAATCCATTTGTAGTTTCAAAAATAAATTAAGATAGAGTTGTTTAGAATGTTGAGTATATTAAGTCTTCTCCATTTTAGTTTTAAATATATTTTACTATAGAGCATATATTTTAAAATGTCTAAAGAAAAAAATATCACTATTATTGTGTGATAAATTGCAGAGCAGTCCAAGCAGCTGCACGAAAAACATCTTTATTACTAAATTAATAATTTCAAACTAGACCAGAAGGGACCCTTATCCCTCTGGATATGGAAGCATATTGTTCTTTGGCTTAGCTAAGCCAGGAACTCCTAATTGTAATGAAATGTGCATAATTAAATGACTGCAGTTGGACTTTGATATTTTGGTTGATGAAGTGTTTGGTTACATTGATTTTATATGGTTCACACAATTTCAGTAGTGGTACTATACCTTGTCATGAAATATTCAAAGGAAAAATTTGACAGTAGTGTTACAAAGCATGTGTCTTCCTCCTTTAATTTGTATATTTTCATTTAATTTACTAATCAGCTTAAAGGCTTAAAGAAGAAAAATTAAATAACACTGAAATTCTGTATAAGAATAACAATTAGAAGACTTATAAGTGGCTGACGGTCATTAGTGATTTGAAAAGATGTTGAATCTTAAGAGCTTTTTGATAAGTAGCAACTATAAAGCTTAATGAGATTTATCACATATAAATTCTTCCCTTGAATTGGAAAGGGAAAGTTCTATATTTTACAATTGGTTGTTTTGTTTTTTTTTTTAGTTTTTTTTTAATAAATTAATTTTTATTGGTGTTCAATTTACCAACATACAGAATAACACCCAGTGCTCATCCCATCAAGTGTCCCCCTCAGTGCCCGTCACCCATTCACCCCCACCCCCCGCCCTCCTCCCCTTCCACCACCCCTAGTTCGTTTCCCAGAGTTAGGAGTCTTTATGTTCTGTCTCCCTTTCAAATCATTAATAATAATTATAATGTAAATAAGAAAAATTATTAGCATTTTGCATAGAGCTTACTATAAGCTAGAAACTAGATTAAATTGCTTTTAGGATAATTATTTCTAAGGTATGAAATGTTATGGATATGAATTGTTATAACTGATTATTCTATTCTAGAAAGGAGACCACATGAAAAAGAAACCATACCACAAAGTTCACACATTTAAAGTGCACAATTCAAATGATTTTTGCTATCTCTATAAAGCTGTTAAAATACTTATTTATATGTAGAAAAAAAATCAAAGAAAAAACATAAATAGGTTTAAATTATTTCAGCAGTATTTCCTGGGTGATATTAACTCAGTTTGAACCCAACATTAAAATGGTACAGAAAGTCAGGGATCCCTGAGTGGCGCAGCGGTTTGGCGCCTGCCTTTGACCCAGGGCGTGATCCTGGAGACCCAGGATCGAGTCCCACGTCGGGCTCCCGGTGCATGGAGCCTGCATCTCCCTCTGCCTGTGTCTCTGCCTCTCTCTCTCTCTCTCTCTCTCTCTCTCTCTCTCTCTCTCTGTGACTATCATAAATAAATTAAAAAAATTAAAAAAAATGGTACAGAAAGTCAAAGTTATTTTTTTAAAAAGTAGATTAGTTGGTTTGTACATCTAAATATTTTCATTTGCTATAGAAGTTTCCAGGAGTTCTGAAATCCATATTTACTATATCAATAAATACTTTATAGCATATACTGCAAGTATGATTTTTTTCTTCCACATATCATATAAGCAAAGCCATACCAAACATAATGTGCTATGATGAAAATTTATTCTTTAGCTCAGGCTGCTATAACACGACACTGCTGACTGGGTAGCTTATGGAACAGGGTTTTTTTTTCCTATTTTCAGGAGATTGGGAAATCTAAGATGAAGGTGTAGACTGACTGGAGTCCCTGGTGAAGGCTCTCTCTTCCTGGCTTGCAGATTGCCACCTTCTCACTGTGTCCTCACAGGTGGAGAGAGAGAAAAGGCAAACTCCCTGGTATCTCTCCTTCTAAGGGCACTGATCTTATCATGAGAGACCCACCCTCAAGACCTCATCCAAACTTAATTACAGCCAAAGCCCCATCTCCACATACATCCCATTGTGAGTAAGACTTCAACATTGAATTTTGGTTGATACAACTTATTTCATAGTATAAAGGTTATAAGTTATAAGAAAACAGCAAAAGAAAAGTTGTGGGTTTTTTGTTTGTTTTTGTGGTACAGACCTGTAGCTCTTTACTAGAAAGAAAAGGAAGAAAAACAAAGAGCAGCTGTGCAAATAGATATAAAAAGATAAGTATGCCAGCAGCAAATAAGAGAGGTTCATTTAAACAACTAAAATCTTAAATCATCTATAATTGCTTTATGGCTTTGTTTACAATTTATAGGCAATGTAGATATAAAGTCCATGATGAATAAGTTTTTTTTACTTTAATATTATAAAATACTATATATATATATATATATATATAGAGAGAGAGAGAGAGTATAATTGTGCCCCCTAATAGAAATGTACCAAGCCTATAGAACTTATTTTAAACATAAAAATTAATTCAACACAATGACAGCAACTGTTTTAACCTCTGCTGATATAGCTCTGCCTCTGTGATTAAAATATGAAATCTCCTTACCATTGTGTAGCTGTGGGCCACCTTCATCAACTCAATGCACCCCTGAGCATCTGCGAAGGCACGGATCCCCAGACAGTTGGACGGGTGCAAGAGCTTCATGAGGAAATGGCAGCACACTTCCACCACTTGAGGAAGCTGAAGGAGGCATGCTGCAGCAAGAAGGTTTTCAATGGTGTCTTCCTTTAATTCCAAGCAACCTAAACATTGGGTGAAGAGAATTATGAAACTCTGTTTAAAACCAATAATGGGTACCACTGTCTCACTCCAAATGTTAAGTCAATCTGTTAAAAATGACCTGAACCTAGATCCATAATCAAGATAAATATAATTCATTAAAGGCCAGCAACTCCTTTCGGCATTTTACATTTCTTCATGTGCTGTTCAAAATCCTCTAAGACGTACTAAATATGTGAGTCTACTGCAGCAGGAATGATGGTTGTTCCTTTTTTGTGAATTAAGGAAAAAAATAGGGACAAGCAAGTTTCACAAAACATGTCTATAGACTTAAGAGAGCAAGAGTTCATGAAGTTTCTGACAATATGTTCATGTGTATATTTATATGAAACACCTATGTGTGAATAACGAATTAACGAATACATATGTATTATATATATATAATAGGTAAATGTAGATTGCTAATATTGTATTTAACTCCTTGTACCCATGTTTTTAATTTTCTATAATTTTTCTTTTTTTGTCAGTTATCTTAACCTCAAAAAATGGGCTCTTCAGTGTTTCCTCTTTTATCTAACTACTCAAGTAATTTATTAATGAGTGGGGCTATTTTCAAATGTTTACAAATCATTCCTGTGAAGCTTCCGTACTTAATTATTTGGGGGGTAGGTTTTATTTAGCAATTCAACACATCTTTAATAACTTTATTCCCCATTCAGATTTTCTGTGTATCACTAAGTACTTAGTATCTCTAAGTCACAGAAATGGCTTATTCCATCTTAGTTTTTGTGGCACAGGCTGCTACTTTTCACTGGAAATAACTTTGCTCATTTTCCTGAACACGGGGAGAGGCCACATGCTAATGTCATGACATGTCAGTGGACTATGAGTAAAGGGATGTGTGTTACTACTACACCAGGGCATTTATGATATGAGTGTACTTCATCCAAGCTCTCTTTCTCTTCTACGAGCAAAGATGACATAAAACCCTGGTGGATGAAGGATGCACAAGGAGCAAAGAGCCTGAATCTACACCAAGAACTACCAGTTCCAAATAATAATCATCAATATTTAAACTAATAATACTCAAATAATAAACTGAAGTACTGAAATATATTTTTAGTTTTCTTGGCTTACTAGTTGTATTGGTTCTTGCAGTCCAATCTACTCTAAAGTGTGTAGTTTTAATTTTATTGTAATTAGTGTGTATCTATAATGTTTGGAAAATTTTCATACCATAGATTGTTTATTTTTGCCTTCTATCATTCTTATTTTTTAAATTAACCTATTTCTCTGGTCTATTGTCTAATCATTTCAGGAAATCAACTATTTTGGGTCTTATTAATGCATAATATAGAGTGATGGTAATGGACATGAGTTTTTTAGAAAATTACTTTTATTAAATTTACTCAGAAATTATTGGCCTTGCTAAATATGAAATTCTAGAAAAGTATTGTCTATTTTTACTGAAGTGGTTCTTGCTCCTTACTTTTGCTTCTTCAATTTTCTCTTAGAGACTATTATCAAGGGCTGTGTATTGGATCATATCATTCTCTCTTCCATATCTGTGATTTCATTATGTATTCTATTAACTAATTCTCTTTCCAACATATTTAACAGTGTGTTTAAACCTGATATGTTAAACTTTAAAAATGTTTCATTTTTACTTCTAGAAGTTCTCTCCATGAAAATTATTTATACTCAAATTTATATTTTCATATCTACCTTTACATTCATAGATATATTTTTTGGTATATCTACTATGCTGTCTAACTCTGACTTACTAAAAATTTTTTTCAAGATTTTATTTATTTATTCATGAAAGACACAGAGAGGCAGAGACAAAGGCAGAGGTAGAAGCAGCCTCTCTGCAGGGAGCCTGATATGGGACTTGATTCTAGGACCCCAGGATCACCATCTGAGCCAAAGGCAGACACTCAACCACCGAGCCACCCAGGCACCTGACTTACTAAAAATTTAAATAACTTAATTGTAAAAATTCTACCCATGGAAAAAAATTTTAAAAATTAAAAAAAAGAAATTCTACCCATGAGAATTACGCATTTCACAGAGTTCTTAATATTTCATAAACATCAGTTTTTATTCCTGATTTTTAATAATGTCATTCTTTTTCTTTGATTATGGATTTATTTCATTTCTACTGTTTTATCTTTTTATAACTTTGCAACATTCAGTTTTACTATTATTACCCAAAAATAAGTATCTGTGTTCTCCATTTAATAGCAAAATTTTGAGAATTTTAGAATCTTTCAGAGAAAATAATGTTGTTTTATTATCCTCTCTGAATATTCTAAATTTTGACTGAGGTTTGAATTATCCAAACAAGTTTTATTTATGTATTTCTTTTACCTTTTGCCTCATTAAGATATACATTGCAACCTCTAATAGTCAAAGATGGTGATCAGTCCCTAAAAAAAAAGGATATTTTAATTCATTGGTGCACTTGGAAGACAGGCTACCCAAAATTTGGAACTTGTATGTAAGACCATAGGGAAAAAATAATTGATTAACTTTAATTATTAATATGTTATCTTCTAATTGAAATTTACAAATGTATCATTGCTAGTTGGAATATATTTTCTACTTTATAATACTACAATTTTTTCAGATTTTTCCTTTTTTCATCAGTAGTATTTTTTAAAATTTTTATTTATTTATTCATGAGACACACAGAAAGAGAGGCAGAGACATAGGCAGAGGGAGAAGCAGGCTCCCTGCAGGAAGCCTGATGCTGAACTTGATCCCAGCACCCACGGATCATGACCTGAACGGAAGGCAGATGCTCAACCTCTTAGCCACCCAGGCATCCCCCCCATCAGTAGTATTTCTATAGCATGTTAGAAAAGTTGTCTTTATAAGCAGAATGCCTTTTTTTTTTTCCACACAAAGTTTGTATTCTGGTTTTCTTTAACCTATAGTAATTTGCAGGACTACTACAATAAACATCCATATACTCTTTACGTAGCTTCACCAAGTGTTAACATCTGCCATATCTTTCTCTCTCTGTGTGTGTATTTATGCTATAGTTGCTGTGTTATTGAATTATTCCAAACATTATATTTCACCCTTAAATACTTCACCATATGCTTCTAAAAACAAAGGTTCTCCTACATAGCTACAATATAATTTTTACATTTATGAAATTGATAATTTGCTATGATGCAAATTTCCTCAAATGTCCAAATAATATGCCTTATAAATTTTATTTTTATTTATTTATTTTATTTATGTTTTTAGGATTTTATTTATTTATTCATGAGAGACAGAGAGAGAGAGGCAGAGACATAGGCAGAGGGAGAAGTAAGCTCCCTGCAGGGAGCCCGCTGTAGGACTTGATCCCAGGACTACCAGGATCATGCCCTGAGCAGAAGGAAGACACTAACCACTGAGAAACCCAGGCAACCCTATAGATTTTATTTTTAAATTCAGGCTCTAATCAAGATTCACAATATATTTATGTGCTATGTCCCTTTATTCTCCTTTAATTTATAACTGTTCCTCAGCCATATTGACATTCATGACATTAATATTAGTGAAAAGTCCAGACTAGTTGTTTTTTTAGAATTCCCCAGATTGGATTAGTCATATTATTTCCCCATGATTACATTTAGCTGAAACCTTTTCTGGCAGGGACACTATAAAGGTGATATTACACCTTTTTCAATACCTTACATGGGGAAGTTCATGATGCAAGTATGTCTCCTGGTTGACGTGTTAAGTTCGGTACCCTGTTTAAGGCAATGTCTTCTAGATTTCTTCATTTTATATATATTTTTTTCTATTATAATTAGTAAGTAATCTGTTGGGTGAGGGATAACTTTGCTTTCAAAAATGACATTTCACTTATAACTTAACATGTTTAATAGTTAAAGAGTATTATGTTTTATTTATGAGTGTCACTGATAGAATAAGACAGCAAAGGAATCTAAAACATACTTCCAAGTATAGCAAGGGATTTAATGAAGAAAGAAAAAAGTAGGTAAAATGGAAACAATAAATTAGAAAGGAACAGTGTCTGAGAGCAAAATTAAAATACTTCTTTCATATTTTAATTTATAATTAAATTTACCTAAAGTTTAGCTTTAATATAAAAGAGGGACATTATCAATAATAAAAGTTAAAACAGTTATTTTTAAACTTACAAGATTTCAATAAATGCACAAGAATCTTATTATTCGGATATTACCAACTAGTAGAACATTGAGTATCATAGGTCAATTCAGCAGAGGAGACATTTGCCAATAGTATTTTTGGAAGTGTTTATATTTCACACTATCATTCAATAATAATGCCAAACAGTATATTCATCTGAAGCTGAAGGATTCATACAAGCTCAAATGATTTAAAATATGTCAGTGCAGCTACATATATATTTTTTAAGGTTTATGGATATTATAGTCAGTACCAGAATGAAGTATTCTTCATGTTATAGAAACTTGTATTCGATAGATTTTAAATGATTTATTAAATGTGTACTTATAACTTATATGAATAAAAATATGAAATATAAAGGAGGTAATATGAATACCTTAAAATCTATTGTTACTTGCAATTGATCACATGTATAACAATTTCTGTTAACATTTATATCTTTAAATTATTTTCATGATTTAAGACATTTGGAAGAATTTTACCTAAAAATTTTTAGTAAGATTGCCAAGAATATGGTTATATACTTCCTAGCATGAGTCCTGTGAAAATCAGATAAAAGAGATGAATGCAGATGGCATGGTTTTTATGGATTCCATTTTATTGTGATTTCAGAACATTGGGAGAATAACTTCCTTTAATTTTAACGAATTGTTTTCAACAACACTTAGGCAGGAAAAAAAAATCACACAGTAGCCCTAACCTACTATTTTTGAAAAGGCCTGCTTGCAAGACTTGCCCTTGACTGGTGTCTAAAAACTTAGATTTCAAAGGAGTTCGTACCATAAACTAATACAAATCGCTCACTGTATCAAAGGTGTTTGTAAAAATAATATGGCTTATACTGAACACC